ATTGGTGTTTTATATGCACGCTACAAACCGTAATGCGCAAGTGTTAGATGCAGAATAGTGATAGTCCACACAAACAAGTGTCCTTGCACTGCAAACATGTGCGTCTCGAGTACAAACGCGAGTTGGTACAACGGTGAGAACCCGAATTTTCGCTTCAAAATCACGACCAAAGCCACAAACGCTGCAAATTCGATCGTGCCATAAATCAAGAAACTCGTCACAGTATGCTTCAGTTTGTGCAGTGTCATTGACGCTGTACTTGGGTAGTAAGCTGCGATCGGTAAGTGAAATAATGCAACGAGATACGGCGCGTAGAGCATCGGAATGATAAACTCGATGTACTCCGCCAGGAGGATATACTCGGAGTGAAAGAGCGTGTGAAGGCCATCGACGATAATATCGCGACTAGTAGCTTTGGTTGTATCATTATTGTCTTGGGTATTGGAGGCTAAAGGTCCCAATGGAACCATTGCGCTTGATGGAGCTGTTTGGTTATTTTGTGTCGCTGTGTTTGTAGAGTTGTTTGTTCCTGGATTACTTTTAGTAGAACGCCGACGGTTGATAACTGTGTCGTTAGTAAAAGTGCCCGTTCTTGTAAATCTCATGACAACCTGTCTACTCTCGTCCGAAAGTGGAAGTGGAAACGGTGCAAGTAATCGAGCTCGGCGACCACAAGGATGAACCTCCACGTCCTTCTCCAACAACGATAGTAATTCTTGAATAAAACTCTGTGATTTGGGCTTGGGTAGTGTTGCGGTGTTGCGAGTTTGATGAAAAATGGCTTGTAACGCAAGCATGAGATGGAAACTATCTGCCGCCATGATGATGACTGTAGTCATGATCGATTTGGACGCTTGCATACAAATGGAAGCGTAAAAAACGTTGAAGAGATCCACCGAGAACACCACAACCGGACCGACATATTCATGATAACTTTCTGCTACGTTGGCAATATTCTGCTTGGTTACAAACTTGATCAAGGGCATCACCAAAATGAATATTGTCTGCTGAGTCCCTGATAACAGATTAAACACAGCGCTGAAGATCGTAAAGCACCCAACGACGACTCCCTGGCTCACAATAATCAATAACTGCGAATTGATCTGCTCTCGTAGCACCGGTGAACGCTGTAGAACTCGGGGACCGATGACCAAAATCGTGAATGTCGAGAGAAATAGGACGTACGGTCCAATGTTGAGGATATAGCCGAAAGGAGTTGGGAACCTCCATATCACTGCAAGTCCTAGCAAAGTCGAGACGCTGCACATTGCTGTCCCCAGTGCGATTGCAGCAACGCCAGTCATCGACAGCGTATCGGGCTCGATGACGGCTCTCACTTGGAAGGCAACGCCCACAGTTGCGGAAAATAATCCGAGGAACAAGCGAATCCAGACTGCATAGTTAGCTTGCCAACCGTCCTCTGGAGGCTTGAGAGGGATGCAGTCAAGCGAAAACGCGGTTAACAAGGCAGGAATTGGTGTTAGGACACATACACAGATAACTCGAGTGATCGAAATACGTTGGTGATAGTCTCGAAAGGCGAGTAGACGCTCGATGGAATATTGACTTCGGTGTCCGATATGACTTTGATGCCAACAATCAGACAACTTGCGTTTGATCCGAGTGAAGACTGATACTTGTTCTGGTCTCCTTGGGTATTCAAGAGGCTCGACTCGATGCACCATACTTGGTTCGAACAGGGACAGAATTTGATGTAGTGAACATGTACTATTCATGAACGTATTTTTGGTTTGGGTGGTTACAAGTTGTGGACTTTTGACGATCCCTAGCTTAACGCTAGAACGTGATTGCAGTTATTTTTTTTTATCAGACGAAGTCTAGTAATTGTGGAATCCTCGAGGACGATATTCCCCTTTCAAAATAGAAATTCATCACTCAAATTTACAGTAATCGAACATGTAGTAGTAGGTAAGCTTGACAAATGAGCGACAACTGAAGCCTGAACTCGTTTACTACCGCACAGTATTGAGCAATAGTCGACTTGACTCATGGCCATGGATAACGAATCCAATCGCTGTACACTAAGGGCGCATTGGCGGGCCTGTACAACGTGCCGACATCCGAGCTAGCGCCACGATCGTTCCACGTTACGTTGATCTCAAACGAGGCGGCCGCACGTCGTTGTGCATCCCTCACTACTAGTATCACCTCCAATTCGCGTCGACTTTATAAAAGCTGCATCGCAACCTTCTTCCGAGCATATAGTCCATGAATTCAGTACTTTACACCTTCATTACAAGCCTAGATGCTCCCGGCTGGCTGTCATCCCCATCACTAGCGCGTCTTTTGAGTCAATCTAAAGCGTGATCTCAAGTCATAAAATGCATCGGTTGGAAGATGAGCAGCAGCGATATACTCGATTAGCTTCAACGTAAAGGGCCTCGAACTTCCGCCACAAGCGAAAGAGAGCGCGGCTAGATGACCGCGCGGGGCCACACACCTGCCTTGAACTTGGCTTGCATCAGAGACTGGTCTTTTCACCATTTGGTAACCAGACAAATGTGCCCTTGCGACGTGTTGGCCTCGCAATGATCAACAGGGACCAGCTGCGTGTACACGCTGTGTTGCGGGCGATAATGACAACCAGGACAACGACGTACATGTCATATTTCGATGCGCACAACGCCTAAGACAAGATGGGTACATTGTAGCGATTGCAGTCGCGTATCCTTTTCGCGCTGACTCCTTTGTGATTTGGGTGCGACTAGTTTTTGAGTGATGACCAAATTAGCTTCAAACTCCAAGCGGAGCCGAAACAACATAACCTTTAATACTATATTACACTTTTCTCCACAATCAACTGTTAAACACTGCAATATCGGATATAGTCTAAAATATATTGCGCAACAGGAGCAATGATACGACCTGTAACACTGTAAGTTTTGGTCTGGATTTGAGTACAAGAAAGTGTATTATTCGTGCTGAACCTCGACATGTTGATTTCAGTATGCTGTCTGACTTGCTTGATGTGCATCAGACTGGTCTGCGTTCGTCGTCTGGTGCGAGTAGGCGACACTTGCCGCGGTCGACTGGCAGACCTTCGCCAATCTAATCGGAACGTCCGATCCCCATTTTCCATCAGGACTCGAACGGCTCCAAGTCCCCCGTTGTTCGACCTTGATACCTAAAGCACCAAAGCAAACAGCGAAAATCTCCGAACAGGGAAGAAAAAAAAAACTGTTGCAAAGATGGCGAACGCGCTGGATGACTACGCGGACGTGAGCACCACGCGTAACATGGACGAGAATGTGCACACTCTGCCCGCCGCTTACGATGAGAAGGACGACTTGGAGTCGCTCAAGGCCCGTCTGCAGCGCCGTAAGAAACCCATCTACGCCGGTCTCGCCTTCCTGGCTGTGGTCGTCATTGGCGTCACGGTCGGTACCGCCGCAAACGGCGGTTCCAAGGTCAACACGGAGTCCGCGCAGGTAAATGAACGAAACGTCCATAGTGTGAAGTCTAGATGTTTTAATCATCTTGTTTTGCTCTTATTAGAAGGACAGTGCGACCCCATCTCCCAGCGTGGATGACTCTGCCCAGACCGGACAGCAGACCCAGGTCGACTCGGACGCTGGTGCTGTCAAGGCTGCCAAGGACTCCGTCTCGAGTCCCAGCAGTGGATGGAGCTCGTCCAGCACGTCCGGATCTGGATCAGTTGCCGGAGAAGCTTCAGCTGGTCAGGGCTGGTCGCTGAGTAAGTTGTATCAAATGATTATGTTTCTTTATTGTTTTATACTAACTTTTTTTTTATTGTTTAATACAGACTCGACGGAAGGTTCTTCGACGTCTACGCCCACGCCGACGCCTACGTCGACGCAGGCTCCTTCGCAGAGCTCGTCGGGTGAGGCTCTAGCCTACAGTATCGTGGACTTTGACTGGAGTGATGCGTCCAACTGGGAGTACGCTAGCGGCGCTACCGTGTCCTCGAACATGGTAACCAGCAACGGCATCACTTTGACGCCCGATAACAGCGCTGAGCCTATTCGTACCAAAGAAGGATGGAGCGGAGAGAAGGTTGTGTACATTGAATGGGAACGCACCAGCACTAGCGACACCAACATTTGGATGCTCAACACCAAACTCCAGAGCCAATTCGGAAAGGGCAATGGCTGGCCCTACTGGGGTGAACTGGATCTCTTTGAGATGTTCACGCAGGACGCTGCCGACATCCCTGCGTACGACTACAGTGGCTTCGGAGGCTTCTCGGATGTCTCGAGCTACGGACAACTGACGATGCACATGGGTCCGGCTACGGAAGACGGCAGTCCGTGCTTCTGTCCCGCTAGCCCCTCCAAGAGCTCGTGGTACCAGAACACGCAGCCCATGACCTCGGGTTGCACGGCTCAGTTCTCTAACGACAAGTCCAACTCGATTGCCGCTGTGTGGGGCTCGGACGGTACGGGCCAGTACATCCAACTGATCCAGAACCCGACGATTACTAAGGGTGGCAAAAAGAATGGTGTGGATACGTACGATGTTGCTACGGGCAGCGGCGCTGTGACGTCCAAGATCTACAACAACGCCGAGCTGTTCTGGGGTGTGGATGCCACGGACGCGTGCGCTAAGGCTGGCGGCCACGACGCTACGTCGGGTTTCCCGTTCTTCGAGAGCTTCCGCCTTGTTCTTGAGGAGCAGAAGAAGGGAGACTCGAGCGCTTCGTTCACGGTCAAGAACATCCAGATCTTCACCAAGAACTAGATGTAGGGAAGCGAAGAGTACAAGTTTTGCTTTTGTTTATACTCGTTTCGGTAATGAAGCTTGAGGTTGTTTTAAACATAATATTTTTTTAAGCGTTATTTTGCTGAAACGGGTGGTAAAAATACAAAACATGTATAGCGATCAGCACTAAAGCATGGCGAACCGAGTGATGAATGAGCCAACTGGGGCAGCTCAAGATCTGGAGCGAGTGTCTATCCTCTCTCAAGTAAGGCGGAAGGTTGCGGCTACTTGGCATCAGAGTCAAATTGGCCACCGAAGTGAGTACTCAGTGGAGCGATTGCTTGCGTTTCAAGACTACCACGAACGTACATCAGTCTCTCGAGCAATAGCTGTCTGTGCGCTCTCACCGATCCCCGCCTTGTTAGCAGCTCTTGCGATCGATTGCATCCCACTTAAAGCTCCTTCCGACGGGTGGCAAGCCAACTATGCTGTCTGGATTCGACTGTTTCTTGCCATGGGGACTGAAGCATTTGGAGTTGTCTGTCAAATGCGAGCGGTAATTGATCCAGGAACGATCTCAAATACCTGCTCTGCGGTGATATCCATTGGCACAGCTGCCTGTAGCGTGCTTAGTTTTGTATTACTTGCTGTACTCTGGAGATTTCCGGTTCCTTTTGGCTACGTGCTTGCCATCAACCCGTTTGTGATATTTTTCTCACTATTTACTGTACTGGTTGTTGGTCCTCGTGTATTGATCCAGTGCCCGACGTTGAGAAAGCAGTTCAAGGCGCAGTTTATTATCATTGTCAATCAAGGAATCGTGGCAATTTGTTATCCGATTTTCAGCGCGATTTTCAATGGATTATCAGGGATCCAGCAAACTGCGTTTATCTTTGTGATGCCAATAATCAAATTTTTCACAAAGCAGAATATCGCGAATGCAGCGAAAAACTACCACGAATATGTGGCTCCGGTTGTGGTGTTTTCAGTGGATCTTTTCAACGTTTATTACGTTGCAATATGCATGCAATCGTCAAAGTCAATTGCCACGACATTGATAATCATGGCCACCGATGGTTTTCACGTTATTCTCGCACTTCGTGATATTTTTCATCGCAATAACAGCGTTCACACGAGTGAATCTTCTATCGACAATACGCAATACTACCTACGAGATTTACCACGAGTGTTACAAAAGGCCTGTCAAGACGAAACAGCAAAGTTCAACCACCGTATTCGGTTGTATGCCCCATTTCCACTCCCACTGTCGATTAGAAGTAGAGATTTCATGAATGAGTTTAGCAAGACAAGCAAATTTGCCAATGATACTGCTACAACCCGTCGATGCTCGACAAAAACAGCAATGAAGCGAAATTCTGGAATTGAACCAGCCAGATCAGCCTCAAAGAAATCAGCTCCAACGTTTTCCAGCCTAAAGGAACATGAAATTGTTCCTACCACGTTGTGGCAATCCAAAAAATTCTCACTTGAAGCGTTTCGAAGTGGCAATATCAGCGAGAAGGACGTATTGGAGAGTCTGCAAACACTTTTTCATTCCGAATACGTTCTACTGGCCGAGTATATTGAATTTATGGTTCCGATACTGTACTCGCTGTATCTGTCAGTGCTGTTCCACCTGCCGATAGCCGCTTATTATCCGCACTCGGCGTCGATGACGATTGAAAAGTTGCAAGACACAGTGACCAACATTCTCATTTATGCAGTGATCGAGTTCGCATCGTTCGGCGCTCTTTTCGTTTTGCTGAAGCGCAAATTCGGGTTTTCACCCCTTTACCAGTTGGCATTTGTACTGGAGACGCAGGCCTCCGCTTTACAAGGACACTTATTCGTCTGGACCATCACAATTTTGCACCTGACGCTGGCACATTATGGTACTTTTGCCAATACAAACCTTACTGTTGCTTTATACTGTTCTAACGTTGCTTCTCACAGGTGTCGACTTGAACATTCTTGCTTTGTGAATTTTACAAAACGAGATTTTACGCTATACATTTAACGCAAAACTTTAGTAACAAACGTCATAAATTATAGAACTGGTTTAACTCGCGCATGAATCCACGTTCATAACTTGGGGGATACGAAGAATGCAGCACTTGCGTTCATGTAAATCACTTGTTCGTCTCAAAGTAGACTTCGACGGCGTCTTCGTCGACGTTCCATGGGGCTTTCGGAGCTTTCGCTGATGCGCGTGACGATTGTGTCGCGTGGCCGCATGAGCTCCACGATCTCGCCTTCCTCCGGACAGCGCAGATGCCGGCGGAAGATGCTGCTGCGTCGCTCTTTGATCTCGATGCCGTCGTCGCTGCCAACGGACTGGCGCTTGTCTCTTCGGTGGAACAAGTTGCGCATTGAGCTTGTGCTTCGGGTGGCAAATTTCGGAATGAGCTTGAACACGCACCAACACCATCAACTGCATCATCATTTGCTCCCGCTCGTTGCTGCAACGCGCACGCAAACATTCTTCGTGCATAGTAAAGCCAAGTGATATGCCGATTACGGTCGGACATTTGGATCAATTGTTTGGGAAAAATGGAGGCAAATTGCTGGATATTGGTGGCAATGTAGAAGAATGTGCCAGGTGGCGCTCTCACAGCCAATGCAGTTACGACGAGATGAGATAGTTGACCTAGCTACGAAGGCATTTACAGCAGTAGAGGTAGATATTGATCCAGGAAAACCTTCTTCAGTTCGGAGGTCTCTTCGCTGTCGCACGAGGGTATTCTCGTGCATCTCCTTTTTGTCACAGTGGACCGACCGTCACTCACTGCCAGTCTGTAAGTACATGTATCCATGTAGGCAGTCTGCAAATGCAGACAGCAAGTATGTAAAAAGCATTGGACGAACAAGTTGGTGGCCAGTGGCTACTGGCCATAGCTCCTCATTTGGAGACTTGTGTGCCGGGCGCTATAAACACCCGGCTGTCGCAGTCTTACCTCGGTCGTACCATCAACCGAAGCCACTGCAACTGAAGCAGAAAGCTACAACCCCTTCTTGAAACGAGAGAGAGAGAGAGCAAACGAATCACCTCTACACTCATTTGTTACCTTACCCGGTACAGCGTGTTGAGCGCGAAGAAAACACTATTTTTCGCTGTGCCTCACTTTTGCCAATCTGCTTATCTTCTGCTGAGGCGGCGTAATATTTGGTTTTTGTTGATCCTGCTGCAAACTTCCTTTCACTGTCCGCTCCTGCAATGGCTGCTGCACTACACGTAGACTCGTAGACTTTGCGTTAATGCAGAAATGCAGAAACACCCTACGAACGGGTCATGTTTTGATCGCTATTGCCAAGTCAACAACTAAACATCAACTATCCTCTCCTTTGAAAACTGGCTGCACCCCGTAAACAACCAAAACAACTTGTGCATTGCCGCGTTGGAATACGCCACAACAAGCCACAACCGCAGCCATAAACACTTGTACAAAATGATCGCAATCAGTTTTGTACTATTGTACTTAACTGACACAAACCGGCTAGGCATATTAATCCTAACGTGCTTGTCTACGCCTCCAGTGACACGAAAAGCCTCCCCGCCATCGACTTGAGGTCGCTAAGCGAGTTCTTCACGTTCGACTGGAGCGATCTGGCAGGTCGTTCGTCTGCTGATCGAGCTCCATCGCCGTTCCACAGTTTGGCCAGCCACTCCTCCAGTGGTGTGAAATCAAACACCTTGTCCATCTCCTCTCGCTTCTCCTTTGACACATTCAAACACTGCAGATCCGATACCACTTCCCAGTCCCCTCCACTCGTGGTCGTAGCATCCGATACCAGCAGCCAATTGGCCTCAATGTCCTCCTTGGTGCTCTGCTTACAACACGCCTGTGTGCACTCCGGGATCTTCGCCACGACCCCGCGAGCCTTCAGATCCGCATAGTACGCGTCCCATTTCTCCGTCGAGAAGTCAAAACACTCGGCAAACGCCTTCAACTTGCCATAACTACTCCAAGGTACCGACACTCGGCCGGACATGACCATCCCGGCGATCTCTGTAGCTGTCGCCTCGCCCGAGTACATGTACAGAAAATCCGCCAGACTCACGTATACAACAGCCACTTCGGGTAGGAAAGGGTCTTGAGGATGCAGCGTCGTGTTATCCACCTCCAAACCTAGATTGGCACAGAATTTATTCAGTATTTTTCGCTTTGAAAAAATACTTTTTTTAGTGAAAATTGAGCCACCTCGACGCATATCGATGGTTCTCATGCACGCGATATTGTTCTTGTCGTTCGGAGAGGCTCGGAACATGAAGGTTACCTGGTGACAAGCAAAAAAAAAGAAAAAAAAAATGGTTTGAGCGGACGAGAAATCGAGTAACACGGGAAATAACGAGTTGCAACGTACGACGCCACGGAACTCGGCGTCTGGGAGCTTGGCGAAGCGTAGGAAGTCCATGAGCTCGTTTAGCTTGGCCAGAAGGCCCTCGCACACCGCCGCCATGATGGAAGGTGGCGCTTCAGTCTCGGTCTCTTCAGTCTCAGGCGCTTCGTCTGCTGTGCTGTTATTACCTGAGAGCGAAATACGGTGATTCGATTGGAAGATACACATCAATTTCTGTCCAATAATGTCGTAGAAAATGGAGTCAGAAAGGAGTTAAAGCGATTTTTGGCTTCTACAGAAGAAGCATATCACCGCTAAGAGATTTTAGGCAATGCAAGTTGTGTGCCGACCATGATACTTAGCGAGGAATCGGACGGGATCGAGTCAACCATGCCGCGCAAAAAAGAAAATTCACTGCAGAAGTAAAAATAAATAAATAAAAACCTACGCGCTTACAACACTTTCGTTGGAGTGCTACTTAAAGAGTAAGATCGTACTTGCGAG